ATGCGACCCAACCGCCACCATCCAGGACGGCGGCGCGGGCACACGGGCGCAAGCAGGCCACCGCGCGGTGACGAGCGGAGAGAGGAAAGAGCACGGAGAGGGCAGGGGAAACCCGTGGGGCCGGGGGGAAGGGCACCGCACCGCACCCAAGCGCGGGGGCACCGCATCACCGACAACCCCGCCTGCCGGCCCGGCGGGCACGGGAGTCGGCGGCGCGCACACGACGGACGGGGAGGAGCGCCAGGGCCCCTTTCTCCGCCCGGAGGCGGCGCGCCGACCGTCCACGGTCCAGCCGGCCAGCCGGCCGGGTCGCGTGTGGCGCACACCCGAGTGGCCGGAAAGCCAGGGGCGACGCACACGACGCAACGCACGCCACACGGCCATGGGGGGGTCTTTTCTCCAACCTCCCCTCAGAAGCCGGCCCGAATTCACTCGCTCGCACGGACGCGGGGGCCGAGCGCACAGCGACCCCGCGCCGCCGCGGACCGGCGGTGCCGGCAGGGGGTCGGGGGTCCGCGGCGACGACCCGTCGGCGACAAGTCACCGGCCAACGGCGGCGGCCGGAGGCGGCGGCAGGGACCCCGGGAGGCGGGCGACACCAAACCCAACGCACGCGAGCTACCGCTCACCACGCGGACTACCGCCGGCACAGAGCGGACAGGGCCAGGCACGGGAACCGGGGTCCGCGCCGGGCACGCGGCGGCGACACGCCGAGAGAGCACAACACCCCGGATCCGGGACAGGGGCGGGGACGAAGCCACACGGCCTCGAGACGGAGGGAGACGATGCGATGCGGGCAAAGCCTAACACACGCAAAGCGGGAGGGAGGCGCGGGAACCCGGGACAACATCGCGCGCAGGCACGCGAGGCGGCACCCAGCGGGAGGAGGCACGTCGTGACGCCGGCTTCAGGCCCCCTCGGACGGCCAACTCCCGAGCGAGGGACGCACGCGGGAATTCTCACCACCATCGCCCCCGTGGCGTACCGGCGGTCCCGCTGGCAGGAACCCTCGTCGTGAGCAAAACCGATCCGGGAAGACCCTTCAAAAGCCACCGCCGCCGCGACGACGTGCCTCCCCCACACCGGGGGAGCAGCCTCACGAGCTGAGCGCCGTCCCCCCCCCCCACGAGAACACCAACACAACGCCCGACTCGACCGTCCGCCGGTGGCCGGCCACCAGGCCAAACCAGCGAGGATCGCGGAAGGCTGATGCGGGTGAGGAGGGCACGCCGGAAGCACAAGAGCAGCAGCGGGAGGGTCACCGGGTCGGGTCACCGGGGCGAGAGGCGAGTGAGCGAGCGGCCACCCCCTCACACGGGCGGGTGGCGCAGCCGCAGACCAACGGGGAGGTGGGACCTTTCCGGGCACAGCCGGCACGCCAGGTAAACGAACGCGGGATCTCACCACCCCCAACTCCGGGGCGGTCCCGCGCAACGCCTGGGACACCGAGCCGGCCGACCAGCGGACCGGAAACCCCCACCGCGGCAGCGGCGGGCCCCCCAAAAGAGGCCCGAGAGGGAAAAGGCAGCTCTCGCACACACCTCAAAGACCCCGTGAACGCCCGCGGAGCCGCCCGCGCCAGCAGGGCCCCACCGCCTCCATCCACACCACACCGCCGGGCACAGCACCCATCATCGACCGCCTCTTTTTCGGCCGCGTGAGCAAGGGCCCACACACACCGGGATCCTCGGCTCCGGGGGGCCAGAACCCCCCCGAGCGGCGCACCACCACGGGCACGGCGGCCCCGGAACACCGCGGGGCCCAGCGCCCGCACGGCGCCGTCGTCGCCAACAGGCGGCGGCCCACACAGACGCTCGGGAACAGCGTCGCCAGGGGCCGGAGGGGGAGGGGGACGGGACCCCCAAAAACCCCACGGCAACCCAAGCACGAGGCCGGGAAGCCACACACCACACGCCCTCGCATCGCGACCCGGCACGGGCTCCAGGCTCCACCACTCGACACACCGCACGCGAGGCAGGGGCGGGGACGGATCGGGAACGTCCTCCACTCACCACACCAGACGACGGCCCGGGAGAGGTCCCGCGGGACCCTCCCCCAGCTCGGAGGGGGGAGGCGCGGGCACGCAGTTTACCGACGCGGGCAGCCACTAGCGCTCAAAAGCGGGGCAGGGAGCGGCAGGGCCGCGGGAGCCCATCGGGGGGCGGGCCCCCGGCCAACCCAGCAGCGCACGCCGCTTCCCGAACGAGGATCGCTAGAGAACCCCTCCTCACTCTGAGGGTGGCCCGCACCCAACCCCGACGGGAACCCCGCCGGGAACCAGCACACATCAGAGGCGTCCATCCTTCCCACCACGGGGGGCAGGGAGGGGTGGGGCACAGGGGGGGGTCTGCGGCAGCAGCAACACCAACCCTGGTCGGTCGGCCTTGCCGTGCGGGGCCAGAGCAAAGTCGCGCACACGGGCGGGAAGCCCGCACGGGCCCCGCTCGCCTCCCACTGCAACATCTCAGGTCCCCCGGTGCGATGAAAGCCAGGTGACACGGCAGGGAAGACAAGCCAGGACCAGGGCGGCAGCTCATGCGGGGAAGCCACCGCCCAGCGCAACAAGGGAAGAGCGCTCCCCTCTGGGGAACCGCCTCGACCCCCCCCAGCAGAGACGTCAATCTCAACGGTAACTTCTCACTCGCACAAAAGCCCCACGAACCCGAGGACGGCCGGGACACACCACGGGCAGCAGGCTGGCACAAGGCAGCGGACAACGCCAGGATCGGGAACGACACCACCACTCAGCCTCAGGCACCTGAGAGAACCAACCGGGAGCGTTCCGGGAGCACCGCAAGAGGGCAGAGCGCGAGGCGCGGTTTTTCACACTACACAGCACGGGCAAGCACGGAGCACCGACCCTCCCTCTCCGCGGAGAGAGCCGACCCCCGTGCCGATAACAAGTCACGGGAAGAGAGGAGCAAGATCAGGGCGCCCCCCTCCTCCAGCGTGTACAAGTCCCCGACCTCACGGCGAGGGCAGGGAGAGCGCAGCCGGGCCCGGTTGCCGCACCCCCGCCTCCCCGCACACCACCGGCGCCGGCACGGTGGGACGGGTGAGGGCAGGGGCCCACGGGCAGAACGAGAAGAGCGGTCCCATTCGCCATGAATGTCCGTCCCTCGCCTGGCGCAGCTTAGGCCCGGGCCCGAAGGAGATCGCAACGTCACCACATCAATCACACCGAGGGGGGGGGAGAAGGCAGCCACGCGGCACTCGGGAGGCGGTGGCCCAGGGAAAGCTCGGCTCCTGAGAGGGCCAACAGCCTGGGGATAAAAGCGTAGCCAGGACAGACACCCTTCCGTGAGTAAGGAGCGAGGTAAAAAGAAAAAGAAAAAAAAAAAAAAAATGAAAAAAATACCACGGGGCTTAAGCGTCCCTGGCACTCGGGATAGCCAGGACACCTCTGCCGGGCACAGGACCGAAGAAGCTAGAAAGGGAGGGAAAAAAAAGAAAAAAAAAAAAAAAAAAGAAAAAGAAAAAAAGCCACGGACAGCGCTCGGGAGGTAGCGCAGCTCAGCGGCCGACCAGGCCCCGCCATCGGGAAGCGGCAGGTCGGGGGAGTTGGAGCTAGGGGCGATAGGAGGAAGGAAAAAAAAAAAAAGCCACGGAGGTCGGGCGAGCCCAACGGCAGAACGGGGATGCCGCACACGCAAGGCAGGACTCGGCGGCGGCGGCCCGGCGGCCCCCCCCCTTTTTCCTCCTCAGGCCGGCCACGGCGAGGGAAGCACACCGTGCGGGCCCTACCTATGCACACCCCAGGCAACCAACCACTCTCCTCCTCAGCGTGCCGAGGCAAGGGCCAGAATCCGGCACCGGGAGCGGGGGAGAGATCAAGGACGACGGGACTCACTCAGCTGCCAACCACCACCACACCCACGAGCCACCACAGGGACACAGGGCCTGCTCAGGGCAGCGGGAGCCCAGGGTGTGAGGGGAAGGACAGGGGGACCCGGACCGGGAAGAGACGGGAAAGGCCCGGCACACAGCACCCGAGAGAGCCCCCAGAGACCCGCTGACAGCCACCGGGACACAGCATGCCAGCACCCTCCTGCAGGTACAAAATCCTCACGTCACCACGCCAAAACCAGGTCGTCAGGCAGGGGCGACAACTCGCTGGCGACAGGGACCTCTCGGAAACCACATCAGGGACACCTGTCCCCAACACGTCCCCAACAGAGCCAGACACGGAACTCTCAGGGACAGCTGGTCGACCACATAAGGCGAAGACAGACGAAGAGCCAGGGCGGGAGCGGGGTCAAGGGACGCTCCCGCCCCACTACCTCGCAGGCACACACCCCGGGTGTGCACGGGCTCACCGCACGGGCGGTACGGGGAGCCTTCCCCCGGCAGACGCGAGGCACCCACTCCGAGAGGCACCCAACCACCACACCCACACCGCGCGGGGTCGGTGGTGAGCGCCCTGCCGCCAGCACGCACACACCCGGGACTCCCGGGCTCGGGTCCCCGACTCCCGAGGTGCTCCCTCCGCCTCGAGTTTTCCCCTACGCAGGGCCCACCGGGCAAGTCCCCGCAGATGGTAGGTAGGTCCCGGCCCCGAGGCTCGCCTCGGCCGTGCCCGCGGCTCCTCCCGCCGGAGAGGTCTGTCCTCCGGCCTCCGGGGCCGTGGAGGAGGCCGTGGAGGGAGGCCACACGGGGCCGGCGACCCAGGCCCTCGCTCCCGGCACGCGCCAAGCGCTCACTCGGAGGTGACTCCGACGACCATCCTATGTCGGGGATGGGGGGGGCGTAGGTCCCGGCCCCGAGGCTCGCCTCGGCCGTGCCCACGGCTCCTCCCGCCGGAGAGGTCTGTCCTCCGGCCTCCGGGGCCGTGGAGGAGGCCGTGGAGGGAGGCCACACGGGGCCGGCGACCCAGGCCCTCGCGCCCGGCACGCGCCAAGCGCTCACTCGGAGGTGACTCCGGGGAGGGGGGGGGGTCCGAGTCCGGGCCGGGACCGGCCCCACCACCTATCGGCTCACCCGGGGACCCTCTCCCCCGACTCCCGAGACGTCCCTCGTACTCTCCTTTTTTCGCCCTCAAAGACCAGAGTCCAGGGAGGGGAGGAGGACAAGGCGTCGGGCCCAGACAGAACTACTGGTCGACCCGACAAAGCTGCCACCCCCCGCACAGACCGGGCACCGAAGAGAGAGCGGCGACGCACGGCCCCACCCCGCGCTCGCCTGCGGGCGCAAAGTCCGACAGAACAGCCGCCCCGGCGCCACAGCGACACCACGGCGACAGTCGCGCCCGGCACCCGGCAGAGGCCGGGCCTCCGCCCGGCTCGCTGCCGCCAGACCTCCTCCTCCTCCACTCGCTCGCTCGGCTGAGAACGAGGGGACTGTCATATCAAAGCGGACGCCAGGGGGAGCACGACAACCGCCTTCCAACGACCGACTCCACCGAGCCGCCGTACCCCGGATCGGCGCGCGCCGGCCGGCTCTGAGCTCCGGAGACACAGAACACGGAAACAAATCGCCTCACTCACCACCGCCACGCACCGAGTGGCACAACCTAGGTCAGGACCTGCAGCCGGGTCCTCTCTGCGACCTCACGAACGACACCAGAGCCACCAGAGACCTAGACCGAGATCGGGCCGCCGCCGCCGCCGCCGCCGCCGCCGCCGCCGCCGCCGCCGCCGCCAGCGACCAAAGTGAAACCAGGAACCAGGACGAGATTCGCCCGAACGGAGCGGCCCGAACCCGAGAACCGGGAAGCTGGGATCGGTCCCAAGCAGGAAGGGGCGGCAAAGACGGCAGGCCCGCACCACGAGAGAAAACGAACCGGCCACCCGCACGACCTCCGCCGCCCGTGGCAAGACCCCCACCCCCGCCCAACATGGCCAGAAAAGGGCAAGTGAGCGCTCGTCCCACCGTCTGCCTGCCCGTCTTTTTTTTTTTTTTTTTTTTTGGGGGGGGGGTGGGGGGGGGTTGTTTGTACGTTTTGTTTTCTTTTTCCCCCAGATGGAAACCAGAAAGAGAAGAAAAAAAAAAAAAAAAACTCCCAAAGATGGGTCGGCTCCAGCAAGAGACGAGCCGTCGGGAGGCACCCCGCTCACTTGTGAAAGTCCGCTCCTCGCCCGCCCCACAACACACTCCCTCCCCCCGCCCCCACCCGCCACCCCTCACAGGCAGGGAAAGGGCAGGGGGAAGGCCAGAGAGAGGTTTCTTCTAACACACAGAGAGTAGCTACGTCACGCACACAGGTCTGGAAAACCACGGTGACCGTGCAATGGGAAGCGTGAGTCCACTCACCCATCACCGAATGACAGGAAAGCCAAACGAGAGCCGCTGCTGGCTGGGTGGGGAAGGAAGGGGAGGTGGCACCCGTGTGACGCTTATCCCCGGGCACCGCACCGGACGGAACGACCTTCTCACCGGTTCGTACTCTAGCCTGTCCAGACAGCTAGCCTTTTCTAATAGGCTCTGCCACTCTCTCTCTGGAGCAGGATTCGGGGCATGAGGCGATGAATCTAAACCCTACACACAGGTGTCGGAGGGTAGAGGCATCATCACTCACACGCCTGTGGTGGAGGACCTGGACCCGAGCGTGGCGGTGCACAGTGTGTGTGTGTGTGTGTGTGTGTGTGTGTGTGTGTGTGTGTGTGTGTGTGTGTGTGTGTGTGTGCGGGGCTGGGGGGAGGGCAGGTAGGGAACCCTAGGAGGAAACACAGGGAGAGACGAGGGGCCCCGGCCCAAACAGAGTGGAGGCGTCAGTCAGAGGGGCGATCCTATCGCCCGGGGGTGAAGCATGGTTAGAACCCACAGGCCCGGCGGGCGTACTTCTCTTTGGAGTTCGCACTGGGAACATACGCAGGCACAAGTGCCCCAGCACACACATCGCATCACAGACGGGTAGAGAGGCAGAGCCAGGGGTTCAGGCATGGCAAACACTCTATTCCGTCAACACACACACACACACACACACACACACACACACACACACACACACACGTTACGGTGTGTGTACAATATCCACAAGGTAAAAGTTTATTCATCCATTCCCCAAAGAATAAGAATAAGATTATGTCAGACAGAGGGAAGTAGATTGATGGACTAGGAGCACGAGGTGGGGGGGAGGGGGTTGCCGGCGGCGGAGAAGAACCTAGAACAGGTGATGCCAGGGGAAGACAGACCGGCGGAAAGACAGACCGACCGACCGACCGACCGACCAACGGCACGGCACGTGTTTTCCCTCCTATGTGGATGCTAGACCTAAACTATAACTGGACATGGTAAGCTACACAGCACTCCGGGCAAACAGAGTGTGTGTGTGTGTCCCCGTGTGGGTGACACACATACCGTCCTTTTGTCAGAAGGTGTAACTTCTCTGAGCATTTAAGATATTGCAGAGAAGACATAAGACGTGATATCCCTAAGTGGCACGACTGTGAACGTATTATCACAACCGGACGTGTTAGGATTAAAGCTGGAATTAGGAGGACAGAAACGTACCTGTCATTATTACAAGTATATTTGGTTTAGGATCTTTCAAAACACATTGATGTATCCTTCTGGACACCATGGTCTAGGACCACACCAGTAAATAGCCACTTCAAAGCCAGATCATCGGTTGGATACGTTTCAATTGGTTTATATTGCATCCTCTAATATTTTTTTCTTCTTTTTATTCTATCTTCTCACTAAAGATCCAGTGGTATAAAGCTACTTTTGTTCTCTTCATATTCCATAACTGAAGTGATCTGCTTTGTTTTGCAGCTTTCTCAGCTTAATTCACTGAGGCCTATTTAGTCACACATGATGAGAGGTCCAGAAACATCTTTGGGGCCACGGATGGCTTTTGTAAAGTCCATTTGGGGAAACAGCAAATATAATCTACCATGTCCTAAAATGTAACAGATTATCTCTATGGGACCGATAGAAATATCCAGATGTGCCCTGTCAACAGCCAGTTATTTTAACTTACTTAAGGGAAATCAAGTGAATAAAAGTCTATATAGTCCAAGAAATTTTATTCTGATACCTATATAAAAAGTTTACCTGAGTGGGTGAGGACATTTGCATGAAATTTCACCTAGGGCAGCACTTGATATTTATAACTCTCCCTGAACTATTGCATTGCCTGTTTTCCATTTTCTTGGCACTCCTTGAGA